AATGGGTCCCCCCCCCCCCTCCCTTCCCAAACACCCGCTTCCAATCGCAACCAGAAGTTCTCAGACCATGAAAGAATTCTGATTCTTCAACTTTTCAAGTTCTTTGATTTGCTGTCTCAGAAACAGTATCCTGTGGGAGAGACACAGAACAATCATGGTCAGTGTTTGGATTCAAGTTTACTTTACACAGAAACAGGGGGATGCTTCTAGACTGTATTCTCACCTCTGCTCACGCAATGTTGCTTGTATTTCACAGACTCTGACCAAGGACCGGAGGTTTTTGAGCTCGGTGCAGTTCTCAGACATACAGATGCTCCCCATGGTGTGAGCCTCTTCACGTAGTCTCGATGCCTTAAAAGTCAGTCAGATAGAGAACTTGTTTTAAAGGGCGGTGCCGTGAATAACCACAATCAGCAAACAATGCCATTCCAGTCAGCAGGGTGCTTGGTGAAATGTTGCTGGGACCAACCTGTTTCTCTGCGTGTTCAGCAGGCCAACCCTGTACATGTTTGATAAGATTCTCATTGAAGTGGGCAGCGAGGGTGGGAGTGAAGGAGCAGGAGGGCCGGGATGATGAGGCGGCGGGGGGAGCGGAGGCAGAGTTGGGGGCGTTGCTGCTGCTGGAGGCGACGTGGTTGGGACCCGGGGAGGGACTCCTCTGACTGCTGCCATCAACACAGAGGGAAGGAGCATGTGAGCATTGACACGTGCTGTGTATGAACCAACTGGTGACTTCTGTTAATATGCAGCAGCAGTTCTGTCAGTGTCGACTGATGTGCTCATTCATAGTGCTACTGGGCTGGAAGGGCTGTTACACTGTGTATACATGTTAAACCATTATTTATTCAGGGAAGATTCAATGAGAGGAAGCCTCTTTTGTAGGAATGCTCTGATCACATTCACATCACAACCACATACACAGGGCCCAAGTAGAGGAAAACAAACAGCAGTGCACACTGTTACACAGCCAGTGACAGTTGTAGAAATGGCATTAAGCTTCAACCACATACTGTAGGCCCAACGCTTGTAGCTGCAAACGCTGCATGTCTGAGATCAAGGAGAGAAACACAACTAAACTGTACAACCTCCCTATTCAAGTGTGCCTGACAGACTGACTGGAGTCCATTTTGCCTCTTGTGAGCTAAGAACTGGAGCTCCTCTTCAGTTTCCTCTTCTTCACTGACTTCTGAGCAAAATGACTGACCCTGAAACTAAAGCAGCAACTCATGGACTCGTGATTAAATATTTATATGAAGGAGTACGTCGTCTGCAGCTACCAAATCTATCCACAGACTGTATGCACAGAGTTAACAGAGATATATTCCACTGCAGTAATGGACATCACTGAAGTCATTCTTTTCTTTTGTGTAACCAAGAGACAACTGAATGAAGCAGCCACTCATGGTTCCATCAATGACCAGCAGATGGTGCCACAACACTACACTATGAAGACTGTCTATGGTTGTATGTTGGTAAAAGCTCCATCATTCCTAAGTTGATGTGAATGGGTTGCAATCATCTTGGCAGTATTTCCACTGCATTTGGCTACATGTGTAGATGATTTGACAATAAAGCACATCAATACACAGATGATTTCTAAAACAATGACAAAGATGCTGCTTCTTTAAGAATAATTCAGCATTCAGAGACCAACAGACTAAACTTAACTGTATACAGTCAATTACAGTTCAATTCTCCAGCTCCTTATTATTTTCAAACTTGGGGGAGTTGTGTGCTTGTACGTACCCTTGGCGGTGGAGGGTGCGCGGGGAGGCCGTGGTGGCATCGTGACTGTGCTGCTTGTCGCTGGAGAGGGGCTGCTGGGACGAGGGCTGGGGATGAGATGCCTGCTTCACTGATGACGTGCTCACCTGAACACAGAAAGTTACAAACACTAGGTCAAAACAAGCCCTCTCCATGAGACTGAAGCTAACACATAAGTATACAGTATATTTTGTCTAGCCATTTGTCAACACCATGCATCACTAACCCTGTTAGCATGAGGCTCTCTTATTTGTCTGGCTGAGATGCCACGTGACTCAGTGTACTGCACAGTGTTTTGATTATGGGATCCACTGGACTCCATTTGCATGATTCTCCTGCACTTGCTACATTTTAGCCAAGTGGACAGAGACCATAAATGAATGCAATACAACAAGGCTTCAGTGCCAATCTAAATTCAATCTAAGTCACCTTTTCATATGACTGCAGGTGTGATCATCTACCACTTTGAACTTCTTTTATCATGAACAACTGAATGTTGTGCGCCTGAAGAAAGGGAAGCAAGGCTCAAGTCCTCACTGCAAGTATTTCAAGTCCATACACGCCAACTGTTGCTTTTATTTTCCATTGCAGAGTGTTAGTCTCCCAGTGAAAGTGTACCCAAACTCATGCAGTCGGCTACTTTCTCCACCCAACTGGACACTGTATGAGCTTGTTGAATGTGTGCGTCTTACTTTTGTCTGTGAGATGACAGGCTGTGTGCTGAGGAGGGGTTTGAGAGGACCAGCGTTGGTCTGTGGTGTGCTGATCCTTGGAGAAACATAAGACCTGGGCGATGAGGCGTCCGATGTTAACGACATAGGTGACTGGTTCGATTGCTGAGCTGCTCGAGGTACACAACAACAAACACAATCCAAGTGATCAATACAATCTACAACATTTAATACCCAGCACAGAAACCACTACATGAGTAAACAGATGATCACTGTCACTGTGGACTACACCTGTGCTTACCTTGGTTGGAGAGTTGAGCAGCTTGAGAGAGGATAGTAGTGATATTGAAAGCCGATGGTCCAGCAGTGAGGATCTTATGGAGCATCGACTGTAATGAAGCTTGTGTGACAGCAGCTGTGAGAACTAGAGAGGCAAACACACACACACACACACACACACACAGTGTTAGCCTGTGCACTGACATTTTAAGGCCTGCTTCTAGAATGTTTCTGCACGGTGTCACAGTGAATTCGACTGTTAAATTCAACAATGTGTTCCATATAAATATGTTCAGTAAGAATGTCATTAGCTTCAACCGGCTACACTGAAACCAACTGAACATGTTTCCACTAAGGACAATACTTTGAGATTTGGACGGTATGGGCTGAGGGAAGGGTCAAACATTTTCCTCTTTAGGATTATTATCCAACAATTCATTCCCCACAGCTTGGACTAAAAGAATAACATCAACATTTGGAAGTTCAGAAATCCCCCCACATTTCTTTTGGTCCTGCCTTGTGTGCGTACAAATACATGCAGCATCAGCAGAGCTCTGAACACACACACACACACACTAAACTACAGCTTAAACCTCAGTGGTGAAATGTAGGCTAGGTTAAATGAGACCTACTTACATTGTGTCTCATGGAATAATTGCTAAATGCTTAAACTGACAACCCATCAACACTACCTGACAATACAGTGGCCATTAAGCCACAGAGCCTTTTCACAGGAGACAGATTCTCTAGCTTCCCTCTCAACTATACAGACTGCAGAGGTGTATGTACTGCTGCTCCTTGGGTTGGATCATATAACTAAGACTCAGACAGTCAGGATGCATGAGGTGCCCGCTACAATGTCAGCCAAGTTCTCCACTCAGTGTTGGCACAACACCGACTGTTAGGCTAGTCATTCATATGCTGGAGAGTTTAAGGGGCTCCCAGCAAACAGCATGGGCTGGAGATGCTGCTTCACTCCAACAGAAGTGCTTGTCAGATGGTAAAACAGCATCTGAAACAGAAACCCTCCCCACCTTCCATGTCCGACAATTTCTCACGGCTGCAAACTCAAGTACAGGCCCCCGAGCAGCTGCCTTCTAGGAGAGACTATCTCAAAGTGTGCGTGGTTGTCCCCATATCTACAATTATAGGATCTCTGACAACCGGCTGTGACTGTTCCAACCTCTATGATCACTTTTGCTTTCTGACCAAGTTCTTGCCAAGCATACCTTGGCCTGGAGGCATTCTTCATCTAGACAGCAATACAAACACCATAGTACTATGGGGATGTCAAGTTAAGGCCTCCGCACACCAACCGGACGGCCGACCG